ACCAAGTTCTAGGAGAAAAAAAAGCTTGTTCCTCCCCACTCCCCAAAAGTTTCTGTTATTTATTTATTTCCCATTTTATTTTATGTATTTGCATGTCTCTAACCCTGCCACAATGGTATGATGTTCTATTTTAAAATATTTTTGTTTTGCAGTTTTGTTTCCCTCTTATCCCCTTCTAAATTTTCTGCCTGTGAACAACCATTGTACGGTGCTCTTTAGAAATTTTGAAAATGAAGTAATATAGCAAAATATCAAAATAAATTCCTGCTAAAGAACAGCACTGGCATGCTTATCTCATGATAATGTTTTGCAATTTTGCTTATTTAAAACAAGCCTAGCAGAGAAGGACTGGATGTCTTAGTGGATTGGTAATTGGATATTGATTCTTCCATTTCTAGGTAGCTAGTTTGAATCCCACCCACGTTGGTAATGGCTTTTTGATAGTCTATATGAAATAGTTTTGCTGACCTACAGAAAAGGCGCCCACATCACAGAAACACCACCTCACTAAGCACTAATTTGACAGGCTTATTGGCAGTCTCTGCTGAGGGGCCAAGGACTTGGCTGAGCAGAGACTGAATTACCCTCCCAAACCCTAGAGGTCATCCCTTCAAATCAAGATTGAGACATGATCATGCTGGCAGGGAGTTTTGGGGCAACTTCATTTGTCTCTGCAACTGGTCTGTCAGCTTGGCACAGTCCATGAGCACTAAACAGCCAAAATGTTGAAAATATAATTTAATATTTTTATCTTTCTAATTTTGTAGCCAGCCTGATTCTGATCCGGGTCACATGCAACTACCCACACAGTTTTTCATGCTAACATCTATTTTTCATGCTAAAAATTAGAGCTGCCATACTAAAAGTTGGAATCCATGTACTGTACCAAACATTTTGAAAAATAAAGCCTACTGACCCTTTCAAGAGACTACTTTTAAAAGCAATGGAAAGGTGGCATCCTGGGAGACACGGGGCTAAATTTTAAATGGGCATCAGCAGACATAATTGCCATTGAGTTCAGCAGAAACTGAACCTGCTAATGCCACCTCTAAATTTGGCTACCTGTGGCATAGAAGAATTCATAGCTTCATTATAATAACTCCACGCATATGATTCTTCAACATGTATGGATGTTTTTCTTAAGAATTGGAGTGTATTTTTTAAAACTTTTTAATGAAGAACCAGCATTAGGAGTTAAGATCTTGTTTCCATTATGTTACAGTGCTCTAAGACAGGGCTGTCCAACATCTGAGTTGCTGGGGGTTGAACACCCTATGGGCTGTACGATGGTGAGCCATGCCTCCCCTGTCCAGGGCTACATGCCATGTGGATAATCTTTCTCCACTGCACCATGCATTTGTTGCCCTCCCACCATTAATGTTCAATGTGTGTGCTCCTTCAGCCCCTGCTCACCCCAAGTTCATCTTCAGCTCCTTTAGTCACACCACACTGCCCTGCTCCACCCCCTAGGAGGGAGGGGCAGCCCAAAGACGGGCTATTTTGCAGCTGTGCAAGAGGGTCCAGGGGGTTGGAACTTAACCACTCATCAGCTGCATGTGGCCTATAGGCTGCTATAATATTGTACGTGAATGAAGTTTCCTAAATGTAAGGTGAAAGATACTTATGGTCTCCAATATATGGAATTTATAGCCTGGTGCAAAGTAATTATGTTGATGTGTAGTGTGAGCATAATAAACTATGGAAATTGACACTACAATGGATGAGAAGAGTGTGTATAATTTTAATGATATACTGTACCACATTTGAAGTAGTGAACATTACCTTGTAGTTTATGAGTAACAGAGACAGCAGTAGTTTTATTATAGGAACCCTGGAACATTTACCAAGCAGCCTCAGGAAAAGAAAAGAGGAAGGTGGGGGAAATAGGTTTGAGTGTGCAACAACATGATCCCAGTAATTTCTTTAATGCTGTTACTGAGACCTTTTGACCTTTTTACAACAGAAAAAAATTGGGCTAGTGGAGCACTCCTGAATGCTGTCATGCAACTCCAAGGTATGTATACTCTTTTTTTCCTGCAGCTAAGCTGCCTACAGAATCTGAAGTATTCTGAGCTAAGTAGATAATGGATTTCCTGTTGACCTGTGTTAGGAGAGCAGCCCTGTGCATTGCTGACAAAGCCTTCAACAAGCTAATATCTTGGGTTTTACTCCTACTAATGACTTCTCTTCCTCTTTAAACTTATGGACTCTAGAAATAGGATCTTCTAGACAAGAAGACAGTTACTAGGTATTAATGCACTTGAATCTTAAATTATAAAATGGAATTTTGCTGTCTGTTGCTAAGCCCGGAGTTATCTATAACAAACTTATTGTTAGTTCCCGGCCTGGGATCTAAAAGTAGGGGTCAAACATGTTAAAAATGGATTTTAACATAAGTGTTCACTGCCACACACAGGCTGTGTCTACACAAGATGCTTACTGTGTAGTAGCTTGTTACTACTGCACAGTAATGTCACTGGCACAAACTGTGATGCAACACGACTGCTCAGTAATAATGAAGTACTGCACAGTAAGCATCACTAGGCAACTGTGCCAGGATGCTGCTGCATGGTAATGCTGGTCACTGCACAGTCATTTAGTATTTGGTTATGCAAGTACTAAATGACTGCGCAGTAACAACTGCACAATGGGCTGCTCATGTAGATGCACCCACAGAAAACTTAAAATCTTAGTGTTGTACTTTGACCAAAATAGACCAATCAAAGTAAACTAGATTCCTTATTAATTTAGCACAAATGATGTAAATGTATTTCTACTCTGTTGTTCTTGTTTCCTCTTTATTCTCTGTACCTCCATGCCCATCTCTACCTTCATATTCTCACTGCATTTAGACACAGCACCAATGCACACTTGCATTCACAGAATATTATGTGCAACCCACTGAAGTTGATGGAAAATGCAAGCACTTGCCTCAGGTTAGAATTTAATTCATTATATTTTAACATAACTCCATCTAACTTTATGTTCATATGTCTCATTGCTTATTATCAAATAATTTATTTTGCAACTGTAATGGGGTTTTTTGCCAGCTCATCCTGTAGTTGGACTGTTTCAGAGGTTCTTCATTGTAGGGATAGTGTTGTAATAGAAATGTGACTGGGATGCCACAAGTATTGGATTATGAGAACACAGAAAGACTCAGGTGCTGCAAGTATCACCTTCTAGTTTGGCAGAATACCCTGTGCTGCTTCTTAGGGAAGACAGCACACAGGTGAAATTCATGAATACCTAATTGTGGTTGTTAATATATTTTTAAAGATCTTAATGGTTCTTATTAAGTTTGACTTATGGCATTCTTCTCTTGAGGTTTTTTTTGTTTGGTTTCTTTTTAAGAGTCCATAAAATCCAATATTCCAATCTTCATCAACCACCAACCAGGCTAAACAAATTATCTCACTCCTCAAATAACCTGCCTCTCTGTGATTACAAATCATCTGTCTCATCTGATACAGAGTTCCCTGAAATGCTAATAATACAACTGCTGGTTTTAAGAGCTGTTTTCCTTTCTGGAATGCAAGAGGCTCTAACTGTAACCTACTTTTATCCTAGAAGATAAGATTCGTTAATATTAGATACTGAAACATTGTGTATTGCATTTAAGCATCAGGGAAATGCAGCTAACCGCACAAAAGGGTTAATGGGTTTTAGCAGGTTGCAATCTCAGTTTTAGGTAATGTCAGGATTTTCTCCTGATGCAGCATTTAGTCAAGGTAATAATCTTGTATCTAAAGAGAAACATATAAAATACATTTGAGTAGTTCCATGGATACAAAAGGAGTGGTTTCCCAGGCAACTGTAATTTCTTCATACATAATAGGGTCCAGGAGCTTGCCTTTTCTGATAGTCGTTTCATGATTGTTTTGTAAACAGCAGG